GACATTTATACTAGCGCCTAGGTCCGCCAAGGACTTTCTTACATGCATGCTGCCAATAACAAGAGGGATAGTGAAACTCCCTGGGTCTTTGCGCTTCTCGGGCAGCTTGTTCTGCAGGATAGCAGAACACTCCTCGCTGAGCATCACTGTCGAAAGATCCCCAAGTTTCTTCTTGTTGGTGAGGAGGTCTTTCATGAACTTGGCATACTTGGGCATCTTCGACAGTGCCTCCACGAACGGCATGCTGATGTTGACCTGCTTCAACATTGCCATGAACTTGGCAAACTCTGTCTCCAGCCTGTCTCTATGGAGTCGAGTGGGGAAGGGCAGCTGGGGTGTATGCTCCTTAACCACAGGTTGCGGCTTTGGAGCAGGTGCTGTGCTGCCTTCCCCCACCTATGCAGTGTCAGCTGGAGGTGTTGAAGCAGGTAGTGGTTCGTCTCGCCTGGGCTGAGCAGGAGCAGCAGATGTAGTCTTGCCACTCCTGGTGGTGATGGCGTGTGCAGTCTCATGCGGGTCCCGTGGATTGGGAATGGTGGTGGCAGGCAGAGTCCCCGGTGCCCTGGTAGTGTTCTGGCGAGCTAGGCTCCCAATCTGATTCTGCAGATCCTGCAGAATGGCACCTTGGTTCCTCTAGCCTGCCTCCAGTGAGGCGATGTTCTGATCCATCCTCGTGAAGTTCGCCTGACTGGTGGTCATGAAAGCCTGCAAAATATTCTTCAGATCAGATATCTGAGGATCTGGAGCTGCGGCTGCTGGAGGCTGAGCAAACTGGCGCTGGGGCTGCTGGAATGGCTGCCCTTGCCTAGGCTGGTAGGGCTGCTGCTGTGGTGGTGGCCCCTGCCTAGCCTGGAAGGGCTGCCTCTGCTGGAAACCACCTGCTGGTGCGGGGAAACCAGGTGGTTTGTTGGTGTTGCTGCTCCAGGCAAAGTTGGGATGCTGGCGCCATCCCTCATTGTAGGTGTTGCTGTATGGGTCCAGGCGCCGAGCATTTGCTATGAAGTCCACCTGCTCTTGGGGAGTAGAAGACTCCCTCATAGACTGACAATCCTCCACCAGGTGATTCGGGCTCTCACACCACTGACACTGAGCTACTGGAGGCGTAACTACACCTCGGCCCGGAAGGAGACTGTTAGGCTGCTTCAATGTCTGCACCAACTCAGCCACCTGCTGCTCTAACCCGGACTTGGCCTCCATAGCATGCACCCCCCGGTCCCGGGAGTTCCGGCCTCTATGGTTCTGCCCCCAGGAATGGTCTCGGGCAGCCAAGGTACTGATCATCTGGTTCAGCTCGGGTGGAGTCTTAGTAAGGATATCCCCTCCTGGGCATAGAGACTCAATCACCCTCTGGCTGTGTGGAGTGAGGGCGCTGTAGAAGTTCCCTACTGTGAAAGCGTCGCTGAAGCCATGATGGGGACACTACCAGAAGTATCCCATGTACCGCTCCCATGCATCACGAAGGGACTCATCTGGCTCTTGGCGGAAGTGAGTGATCTCCCGCTATATCTCCGTGGTCTTCGATGCCGGGTAATACCGGTGCACGAACTTGTCAGCCAGATCGTCCCAAGAGGTGATGGACAATGGGGGCTAGGTCTCCAACCACCTCTTAGCATTCCCCGCCAGAGAATGGGGGAAGAGGTGAAGGCGGATTGCGTCATCCGGGACACCGTTCAGCTTGAACCCGTTCGTCAGCTGCAGAAAACGGGAAAGGTGTACCCGGGCTTCCTCATCCTTCAAGCCATGGAACTGGATAGAGGTTGTGATGAGCTGAATCCAGCATGGCTTGATCTCGAAGTTGTTCGCAGGAATGGGCGGATAGAGGATGACCGGGCGGATGTTAGCAATCCGTGGAGTATAGTAGTACTCCAAGGTGGGACCCGGTGGTGGTGGATGATGATGGTGCCCAGCTCCCTGGGGGTGTTGGTCGTTCCCCAGGATCTGGTTCTGAGGAGGTGGATTCTGATCGCCTTCCATCTCGTACTCGTCCTCGGAGTCGCTGGTCAATTGGCCGTCTCGGCGCTCCACCGTAGCCAGTCTAGCTCGCTGTTGTCTCCGAAGTTGTTTGCAGGTGCGCTCAATCTCAGGATTCAACGGCAGTAAACTTCCCGACTGGCTACGGGTCATGCACTAGCTGCACACAATCAAGCAATGCAAACCCGTGAAGGCACAAGTGGGAAGGAACAAAGACTCAATGCAAAAAAAATGAAAATGCTAAAGTAACAGAAATCACTTTTCTTCAACAACCTAGCCGTCCCCGGCAACGGCGCCAAAAACTTGACTCACTCCTACTGTCACTCTAGAAAATGGCCAAGTGCAACCACTTCCCAAAGCGTAGTATAGCGGGTTTGGGTTCTATTGTCAACCCGGGTCCTAAATGTGATGACTACTCGGTGAATTCTTGTTATTTAGCGGTGAACTTTTAGTGCAACTCAAGCAAACAAAACACAAAGCAAGTAAACGGTTTGTTGTCAAGTCAAGAGAGGTCACCCGGATATGGTTCCCCCTAGACTGCAGTTAAGTCGGATTGCAATTTACCAAGTTCAGTTTTCATGAAAGTTATACTGCGGAAGGTTCTCAATTAGCCCGAAGTCTCGACTAAAGGTCTCCAGACCCTCTCAATCTGAGTCTCTAGCGGGCGACTAACCTCCACCGGAGTAAACAGATTGAGGCCCTAATGAACCAAACCTCCACTACCGAATTGACTTCGGTACAGAATAGCGAATTGGCTCCTCGACTAAAGTCACCAATTCACCACCTTCGATTAAGGGTACTCTATCAACCTAGGCAGATATTCTCATTCTAGGTTAAAGCAGAAACAACAGGAATTTGATCAGGATTCAAGTCATTCAATCATTCAAACCTCAATCGAATATAATCAATTCACAAACTCTGTACTTGGGTTCATACAATCAGACCTAGCATACAAATCTAGGGTTCTCCATACCCTGATGAATGGGGAAACTACTCCATAGAGAAAGAAGCAAAAGCAGATTCAGACACGGAAATCATACTGTGAAGTTGGATTCCTGCTCCTGGACGTTTAATCGCACTTCTCCAAGCTCAAGACGGGCTCCAATGGTGTTGAAGATCGATCTATGGCGCTTGGGAACTCTGGTTCGTCGCTTTCTCTCTCTAGGAATCGATTTCTCTCTCAAAAACTCGGAACCCCCTGAAAATTGGCCTTCTTTCTCTTTTATCAGCTGCCCTCGCGATACCCGGTCGAAATACCCGGTCGGGTATTTCATGGTTCGACCGGGTATTTCATAAAACGCGCGTTCCACTTTGGGGAAAATCCCCGGTCCAGCATCAAAATCCCCGACCGGGGATTTAAGGCCATCGCCCGGGCCCCCTTCTGTTTCTCACGGGTGCCCGAAGGGAAAAATACCCGGTCGGGTCCAGAATATACCCGGCCGGGTATTTCTTCCTTGGACCGGGTATTTTGGTCCAGCAGCATCCTTTATCCCATCTTCGCTCCTTTCGACCCAGAACTCGTTCCTTCGCCTCGATTCCAACGCCAGGACCTGAAATATGACATAAACACACAACCTAGCGTAAAATCGGCTTAAAACACGAGATTCCTCGTCACAAACGGTCTCAGAATAGGGGTGAAAACATGTATAATTATCGATCTATCAGAAACCACAAGCAAAGTACGACTGTGTTAATTTTGGCAACGAGTACAAAAGTCTCATCAACTTGTGTTCAACCTTTTGATATTTCTAGTCTACTTCAAGGAAGTTGTGGCTGCTTGATGAGGTTTTTTATCTGATTTAAGAACCTTGTAGTTCATTTTATGAGGATTGTGGTGTGCTTCATAAAACTTTTGGTTTGCTTTATGAGGTTTCTGGTATTCTTTAACAAACTTGTGGTTAGCTATATGAGGTTTCTGATGTTTTATAGTGAACTTGTGGTATGTTTAATGATGTTTTTGGAGATCTTTAAGAAACTTGAACGTGGTCAAATTTGATTTTATTGGTATGCTTTATGGATTTTGTGATGTGGTAAAGTTCTGGTATGCTTTATAAGCTTCTGGTGTACTTTATGTAATTTTGTTGTGTGGTTTGTTGTGTTTCTGGTATGTGTTCTCTTGTCAGCATTATGATACTTGTTGTCAAGACGAGATGCGGTATAAATAATTAGTGCCACACACGTTCCCCCTATAGTTTTTAAAAATGACAAGTGTGTCCTTCTCTTTAATTGTCATCCCCTTAACAATAAAAAGGTCATCAAAACAAAAAATTTCCTATTGGTTGGAGCTACTATTAGCACCACGATAACAAAATTAAGTATTAGCACTATAATCTAAGCATATTATAGATACAAAAGGACGAATGCAATCAAAAGTGTGATTCTACATAGAAATATTTTGATGATGCGTTAATGCGTAATCTTTGAAGCAGAATTTTGACTACATTAGTAAGGAAAAAGAGTGATTATACGTAAAAACAATTTGAAGCATAAAGTTTGAAGTTTTAAAGAGCAATTTTGAATACATTGCAAAGGCTTAAGAGGAATGAAAGAGCTTAGTAGTTGGCAAAAGGTTACTTGTTGAATTCTCCATAACTCCTCTCTCTTCACCTCTGAATTAAATTGGATCAGCAAGTGTAATTCCATCCCACTTACATTTTATATGTGGAACTTCTTTTAATATTTAAGTTCCATATATTTTTAAAGAGGAGTATAAAGGGATTAAAAATCTAAATCTAATCTAATCTAATATAAGTCATATGCTCATTTATGTCCTTATGTTTCTTTATTTTCAAAGCGGATTCAATTCAATCTAGATCGGGCAAACATTAGAAAACAATAAAAGTGTGTGAGAGTCTTTTGACCGATTCCAAAGGAAAATTCGTGATATTACATCAACATTTCCCATTAGCCATCCACATATTGAATTCGCCAATATCATATTCTATATCTTACCTTTTCCTTTGGAACTTCCCACAACTATAAATACTCTAAAAAACTCCAAGCCTTTAACTAACACACTAAATAACAATCTCATAAAATCTTAACTTCGAATCTTGTAACCTCGTAAACATAAAGATGAAGGGAGTTTGCCTTTCATTGTTTGTTGCTCTGGTCTTCTTCCAGGCTTTCAACTTAGCAAGTAAGTGCACATTTTCAGTTTCTGATGTGTATATTCTTCGAATCACATTAGAGGAACTAAAAAATAAGTCTCTATTAAAGAAGGGTAGAGAAAAGTATCAAATCAACATATATATTCATTCCATCTACCCAAATAAGAGGAAATAATTTGTTTTTAGATCAGTATAATAATTTTATAAATAAATTTCTTGGGCAGCAATTGTGAAAACGATAACTAACGTATAATAAATCAATAATCCTATTTCTTAGTGTTGTTGATGTGGATTTGTATTTGTATTTGGCAGATGGACAAGCAAGACTATTTTGGTGTGTGCCGCTTCCAGGAGTGCCAGATGCGCAATTGCAAGCAAATCTTGATTATGCATGTGGGCGGCCAGATGTTGACTGCGGGCCGATCCAACCAGGAGGTGCCTGTTATGAACCCAACACAGTTGCCTCTCACGCAGCTTTCGCCATGAATCTCTATTACCAGATTCATGGTACCAGAGCCGACTGCGATTTCTCTGGCACTGCTAATTTCACAAACACAGATCCTAGTAAGTTTTCATCCATCCATATCTATGTATCTGCCCTCAACATTTTCAACGGTCTCTATAGAATTTTTCATTGCTTGATTGCCCTAAGGTTCGAACCTAGTATGTGGTGGATGTTCTCATTCTCACATTATTAGTAAGTCAAATTTTGGATATAGCATTTTTTTTATTCACTCACCAGGTGTATCAAATTGATTTCTCAAAAAAATTTCTTCGACAAATTTCAGGTTATGGTGCTTGCAAGTACGTTAACGCAATTGGAGGAAAACTATGATCCAAGCTGCCTGATATTGAAATTTCCATCTGTCCTTTTCGTTATAAAGCATGAGTATCAGTTTATTACTTCTTAACAAGTGGTCGCAGTTGACTTTCTTTCAAAAAAATATATTAAAAAGGTTGAATTAAGATTTCTAAAAGGACAGTAATGTTGTAGCTTCTGAAATAATCAATGAACTTTTATAGAATACTACCTTAACTGGGCGAGAGGATGTTCCATATATATATTCTCATCTTGAATTAGTGGATTACATGACACAATATTAACCTACATCACCACTCTTGAATTGATATTGTTGTAGTTAATGGTAACTAGATAGGATATTATGGGAAACATTGAGCCCAACTTTGTTATAGCACTACATAAATATTTTTGTCTTCTCATGAGATAATTTTTGTTGGGTTTATATCAATGTGGGGGCAAGAATGAAAGCGAATTACGTTCATTTTCGTAAACAATATTGCCACCTTCACAAAAATATCAAATTACATAAAATTTATAAGATAAACTATCAAAAATTTGGATTTACATGGTGACAACCAACCCTCTCCTCAAGTTGCAGATAGTAAATTTCTCATTCGCAACAATCACCTTGTTGACGAAGAATTCACGTATCACACACCTTATGAGGTATCCTCATAGACAAAATAGAATAATGGTATTTGTGGTATTTGACAAGATGTGGAAATCGCGAGGGACACATAAATGGTTTGGTCATCTTTGGATCGATTCTACAGCTCATCTCGAGAAATTGTAAAGCATCTCACACAAACAAGGAACTCAAATACTCGTATATAACCCAGAATCAATAGTTATAAAGTCTATAGAACCTCTAGTGTTTGCAAACCTACACAACTACGAACTATCCGCTAGGCATGTGGAAAAGATTTTAGTAGAACATCATTCATATACGAGATTTCTAATCTCCTGAAATTCGGCTCCCAAAAGGTAAATTAGCGCCAAGGACATCAATTCTGTCACTGATGTACCCTTGAGGATTTGGCTCGTTTCTGGGTTGGAGAATTTCTCTATTGGCATTGTAACCTCTAGTATTACTTGATTCTCGGCTCGAGCAGCCACCTGCTCGAGCTCCTGGCCGCCGCCGGTGTCCCGCGTTCCAGCGCCCAGTACCACCACCACCACCACCACCATTTGGTGCCGGTTCTTCTACTTCCGGGGTACCCCTAGTGGAGAGGATGGACCGTCTAGAGACTCACGTCGTGGGTGTCACTTCCCGGCTTGACTGGCAGACCGACCTGCTCGAGCGGATCGCTCGTCGCCAGGGCCTCCTTCCAGATGATGAGCCGGGGCCTTCGACCCAATGAGAGGTACCCGACGAGTGAGACATGTGGCAGAGCCGATTACTTTTGCCCCCACTTTTCCACTTGGAACTCTGAACTTTGTTATTTTATTTTTCCTTCTTTTATTTAGTATATGTGAACAACTACTACTATCGTATTGTGTGTGTTTTTTTTGTCTTCTCCTTGAAGCTAAACTCTCCTACCCCGGAAAAATCCCAACTTTCACCCACCAAGCCAAGTAGTAACATCGTTCTACCCCTATCTTACGCCATTGAGGGCAATGTCGAACTTAAGTGTGTGGGGGCGGGGTAGTTTATTCTTATGCTTGTGTGAGAGAGTTTGATGCTTGGAGCCTTGTTGTATGCCCAAATTTGAAATTTTTGAGGGATCCAAGCAATGTTTGCATGATCAAAGTGGCCGTTTGTAGGAGAATCTCGTGTTTATTGGCTTTGACCTTGAATTGTTGCATGTGATCGAGTATGTCCTATGATGATGACTGAGAGATGCATTAGGATAGTGCAGAAGTTTATTTATCATATATGCAAAAATGAATGGATGTCTTGACTCGATTACTTGTTGATTACAATTGCCATGCGTTGTGTTTTGTGAAATTGGAATGAATGATTGGGTGACTAGGTAGCCATGTGAGTTTTGAGTTGATCGTTTTATTCTTATGTGCTTAGATCCCTCTTACCATGACGGGTAACATCATAGTTTTCACTAGTGAGTATGATGGAGGCATAGGATTAGTCCACGCCCAAATGTTGATTGTCCCGAAATGCTTTTTCCCTAGTCTACCCCTTTGAGCGTTGTGACTTTGGGGGTCGTTCTCTTGTAGGAGCTTTGTGCTTGTGAGCTTAATGGTGTTTGATAGAACGACCCCCATCCTTTTTTCGTATCTAAATGTGATTCGTCCTTGTGTCCTAGAGCTCACGCTTTTGAGTTCCATTGAGGTTCTACATAGTATGATTGTGTGCAGTTCTTGCTGGGAATGAAAGAGAAAAGAGTAGTGGTGGAGTGAGTTCTTAAAAGAGAGCATTGGTTGTTAAAGGTAAAGTGGCAAGTGTTTAACTCTCTAGTACCCCCCCCCCCTCTAAAAGAAAAAGAAAATAGAAAAAGAAAGAAAAGGAAAGTATAACGGAAAAGGAATCGAAAAAGAGGTAATAAAACGGGGTTAATAAAGTAGAGAGTGCCACAAAAGATTCAAAGAGTATGCTCTAAGTGGGGTTTCTTGGCACGCAAGCCATTGAAATCTCCCACATTGTTTTAGAACTCCTTCACTACCAAGTCGAAATGTGATAGCGAGAGTAGATCGAGGAAGAGCTCTTAAAGGTAGTTCATGATGGGTGATAGTTTGGAAGAGAGGAGCAAGGGTTTTGGCCAATGCTAGTGGTCATTGTTTGCAGGGAAGGTTCATAGTAAAAACCATAGAACCTTCGGGTGTAGGGTGAAGATGTAGGACCTCATGATGTGTTTGCCATTGGAGTTCACGGTCTTACGGGATCTTGAACTAGAGCCATAATTCGTGAACAAAGGAGCTTCCTGAGAGGGTTTTGAGGTTACTAACGTCAGGGCTGTTCACGGACGCATTTCGATGTTCACGGCCGTGAACTTAGGCCATGAACTGGGCTCGATCTTGGTTTAAAGAGCCAGCTGAAAGGAAGAAGAGGAGGAGAGATCTAGTGTGAGAAACTTCTTCTTCATATTTTAGAGTGAGAAACTGACAAACCAAAGAAGAGGAGAAGCTAGGGTTTCATCTCCAAGCAAGAATTTGGGAATTCCTCCCCCAAACGAGAATATGTGCAACACAAGGAGCAAGGCTTTCATCTTCTTGTATTTTTCCTTTCCCTCTCTTGTGTTTTCCCTTCTCCTAGCATGGAGTAGTACCTTCTTTCAATTGGGTGTTTGTGAACCCTAGCTACAATTATGTGAATGCTTGTAAGAATTGAATGATGTGTGTGTGGTTGTGTTTAATGTGAATGTGGAGGTATTTTTCATGTTGATGGTGTGTGCTTTGTTAACCTAGCTTAGAGAGGAGACCTCCTTAAGTTAAGAAGCTCAATTAGAGATGGGTGTTCTTGGGCATTGCATGCCTCCTAGGCTAGTTTAGAGAGGAAACCTCCTTTATCTAAAGAGGCTCAATTTGAGTTGGGTTGCCTTGGGCATTCAAAGCCTCCTAGATTAGTTTAGAGAGAACCCTCCTTAAGAGGCTCTATTACAGATGGGTTTCCTTGGAAATTTCATGCCTCCTATTCTAGGTTAATTAAGGGTAAACCTCCTATTTTGTATTAGCACTTAGGGTTTGGTTGTGGGTGGTCGTCCGAACTCCAATTGGAGGGTGATGTCTAACCATTCATTAGTCGATAGGTTGAGAAGGTTGCATTAGCGGCTTGGATCGTATCCCATTTCCTCAACCTAGAGACTAAGAGGGTAGCCTTGGTTACTTGTTAGACTTCCCTACGGTTTATAAGCCCCTAACCACACACGGTCGTTCGATTTTGCAAGTTGTAATTGTTAGCGAGGGGGAGCAACACCCGGGTGAAGCCTTCTCAATTAGTGTCAAATCCATTTTACCTTTGCAAAGTACTTTAGTTTTAGACCTTTGTTTTCACCAAAAACTAATCCGCTAAATAATGTTTCAAACAGTCGAAGTAGCGGTACATGGGCTGGCCCAGGTCGATATTTAAACATACTTCCCCTATATTGCACCCATCTAAGGTTTATACTTGGGCTTAGGTGAGATTTTATTGTGATAGTCAGAGCGAGTCAGTATGCGAAGAAGGGACTCTTTGGAGATATTACTTAGATAAATCGAGAGAACCCTTATGAATCTAAGAAGAGTTGTGAGACATCAACCTCCTCCAATGGCAGACCGAAAACATCAACCTCAAGTTCTGCCAAGGCCTAAACAATGGCATCTTACTCAAGGACAAGTGTGGATAGTGACCAATCCGTATTCTTCACCCACTAGTGCTGAAGAAAAACTATGAGATAATGCCTGGCACAATTTTGATGCTTAAAAGTGCAGTTCCATTTAATGGGATGATGAGTGACCTCACGCACATATCAAGTCTTTCTGTGATTTGACAGATGGAATTAAGATAAACGGGGTTTCTGAAGAGGCAATCCGTCTAAGGTTGTTCCCGTTTAGTTTAAATGGAGCGATAAATTAATGGTTGAATAACCATCTGCATAACTCGATCACGTCATTGGGAGATCTATGTGAGAATTTCTTCGCAAGGTATATTCCACCAACTAAGACATCCTTAATGTGAAGTGATATTATTATGTTCCATCAAGAGGAAGATGAGCCATTGTTTAAAGCATGGGAAAGGTTTATATCACTTCTACTCAAATACCCACACCAAGATATTGGCCATTGGTCGCAAGTGGAAAGCTTTTTAACGGTTTGACAAGGGAGTCATGGAAGCTCATCGATGCGGCTAGTAGAGGTGCCATCAGGAACAAGGAATTTGGTGAACTTAAAGACTAATTGAAGATGGACCTAAATAGCTACAATTAGGGTGACAGAAGGATAAGTAATAATGTGAAGAAGGAAAGTTTATTAAAGATTGAAGAACCATCTTCATTAGTGGTTCATATTCAAGAACTCCCCAAGAAAATGGTTCAAGTTTCTTCATGTGTGAAAGTCAATGGACAGCAACTCATGAAATGTGACTGGTGTGGTGAGTCGAGTCACACTATGGAGGAGTGTAAGTCTATGATTGAGGCCTCACTTCAGTTTGAGCAAGCCAATTTTGTTGGAGGGAAATCACGAGGTAACAAGCCATATAGCTCT